TTAGTCTAACTGTGCCTAACAAACACTGCACATAGACACTCTCCAGGATAAATCATATAAACACCAGATAAATCTTAACAAATTTTAAAATGTTAAGATTATATCAAATACATTTTCTGATTACAATGGTATGAAATCTCCATTTCTGGAAGAAATTTCAGAATGTTTACAATCAGAAAATTCACCAATGTATGGAAACTAAACCACATTCTCCTAAACAACAAATAAGTCAATGAAAAATTAAGAGAGATTTCCAAAAATATCTTCAAACAACTGAAAGTACAAATACAACATGCCAAAACTGGTAAGATGTAGAGTTAACAATTCTGAGAAAAGTCTATAGCAATAAATGCCTACATCAGAAAAAAAAAAAGAAAGATCTCAAATAAAAACTAAACAGCGTGCCTCAGGGAAATAAGAAAAAGTTAACAAACTAAGCCCAAGGTCAGGAGAAAGAAAGATCAGAGAATCAGTTAAGTGAAGTGAAAATTTTGAAGTGATACAAAAGATCAACAAAACTAAGCCTGACTTTTTTTTCTTTTTTTGGTACTGGGAATCAAACTTGAGCTTGAGTTTGTCAGGCCGGCGCTTATGCCACTGAGCTAAATCCCCAGCCCAAGAACTGATTTTTGAACCCTTTACCTAGGCTATCAGAAAAAGGTAGAGAAAGGAATCAAATAAAATCAGAAATGAACATGGAAAGATCATGACTGATACCACAGAAATACAAAGAATCATGAGACCACTCCCCAAGTCCCCACCTCCATCGGGTGGGCATCGGTGGGCCACTGCCCTGCACCTCTCCACCACCCCAGGAAGCTCGAATCAGAGGAACCCAGGTGCCCAGCCCAATCCCCTGGCCAGGATGGGCAGCCAGTGCGGGAAGCGCCCGGGACTCCGCAACCAGCTGATTCAGAGGAACACAGGAAAACACCAAAACGAAGGAGTGAGGTATGATCTTAGCCTCCAGCCCACCCAGAACAAGTCCAAGAGACATAGAAACAAAAGAAATCAGAAGTCACACACCTGAAATGACAGCTACTGAAGTAAAGAAACAACTTAGGGTTTATATTGTTTGATTAACTTTGCACTCCTGTATCTGGTGGTCTGAGCAACTATTCAGAGTATAACAATGTACCAGATAGTAACTAACTACAGTTGATTTCCTACTGCCTTGTTTTTGAAATCCAAGATCATTCTCATTATTTTGTTTCATTTTATCATTTTGTTTTGTTTTATTCTCTTTCAAATAGAAAAAGAGGAATTTTATCATTTGCAACAACATAGAGAAACCTAAAGGACATTATAGTAAGTGAAATAAAGTACACAGAAAACCAAATACCCCTTCTTCTCATTTACACAGTGTGTGGAATCTAAAATAATCAAACTCGCAGAAGTAGGAATGGTGGTTACCAGAAGTAAGGCAATAGAGAGGAATAAGGAGGTGACAGTGAATGGATACAAAGTGTCAGGGCGATGAGAGGAACCAGCGTGGGTATACTTTTTCCTTTGAAGTACATTGCTCAGCAATGTAGTGCAAGATCCAGTATTGGCTTTCTGGGTCCGACTTGTTGCACTTAGATATTGTCCTGAAGGTCCATTCATGTTATTGCACAAGATAAAATTTCTCTTTTTAAGGGATGAATAGTATTTTGTTATGTATAAATATTACATTTTCTTTATTCATTCAGCATTTGATGGACACTTTGATTCCATAACTTGGCTATTGTGAATAGTGCTACAATGGACACAGGCATTCAGAGTTCGACATACAGATGTCAAAATCACTAAAAGACTAAATTTCCAGTCATCTCACCACAAAAGACACAGGTATGATCAAAATAGGTAATGAGTGTTTAAATAAAAATTTATTACAGTGAAAGACACATTTCCATTAATCCTTCTCAAAATACTCCCTGTCTTTCATGGATATCTCAGTATCCTGAACTGAATCAAAATGTTTATAGTAATGTCTGTCAAATACAAACATCATGATGTGTCCTCATCCTCCTTGTTCACCGGAGCAGGCACAATGCATCTTTGACTCTTCCTCAAGGTCAATATGACCTTGTAAGATAAACATTTTTAGTTGATTGAGGGTATCAAGGCAGTTAAGACTGTGCCACTGAAGAAACGCACAGAAAGTTCTTCTAGAACTGCTTCAGAAAGCAGTCAAAATGATGGGATAAATATATTTGAAGCCAGGGGGAAGACTGGGAGGAGATTAATGGCAACATCTCTTTTATTGTAATATATTTTTAAACATTTTTCATATTCTTACCACACCACATTTTTATACAATGACTGTTCATAGCCTTGATTTAATTATTCCACGGTACTCAAGTCATAACATCACTTTGCATTCAATAAATATTCTGAAAGTTTAAAACTTTAAGAATTTTAAAAGCAGAGTGAAATCAGCTTAAGTAGGTTATAAGAGAAAAGATGGAAAAAGAGAAAAAAAAGATTCTCCCCTACAAGTTAGAGATGTTTTCAAAGGGCAGAATCTAGTTTAGTGATAAGAAGGGAACGACTCTTCCATCAGAAGACTGAAAGGACAGGTCCACCTGGGAATCACACCAGTGTAAAACCTGAAGGAAGAAAGATCAGGGGGCCAAGAGCAGAGAGAGCTGGCAGCATCTTTGTAGCCAGAGGACCATGGAAGATACGCAGAAAAGTCAGTTTAGACTAGAATGTAAAGAAGGTTATTTCCAAATCTGTTTCTTTCTCAGCACTAACACATTTCAAGAACAATAGCTGTTCGTTTATTTATTTATTCATTCATTCATTCATGCATTTTGTATTTATTCATTCTTCTAACTCCCAGAATGCCAGTATTGTCATCTAGTTGGTCTTCAGAAAATTAAGGTGGAAAATAATATGACACATTTTATTATATGGAATTATTCTAAAATTAATCTTTGTGAGGGCAAAAGAACCACACGCATAATTTTTTTATATTGGGTGTGAGCTTGAAGCACTAATTTCAGTTCTTAAATAGAGCTACCTTTATTATTCAGGAAAGACCAATGTATAATATTGGATAAAGACCGCATTTATTAGTAAGCACTTCACTTAATCAGCCTGATAGTTACTCGTGGCCTGACAAGTGCTTATGAATTATGGCATTGCTTTTGGCAAAACTATTTATCTGTGTGACACGATATGTCACTTTTGAACTTCAACTTGACATCCATAAAATTACATTTTCATCAAACTGAAAGATCAAGCTTTCTGTGCTGACTCACTTGGGTCAACATTTTGCAAATGCCTAGATTTACCACTTGAACCATAAACCCTTTGTGAATAATTTTGTGCACTGATGTTTGATAGCCTAGGGCACAGATCATAATTCCTGAGTAGAAGAAGAGAAGTCAAAGCAAAATGCATTTCCTTTCTGCATACAGGATGACTTACTCCAAAGCGTGTTATCATTAAGTCATTTTAAAATCACTGAGTAAACACTAACTTTGTTGTGTTTTTCAGGAGCTCAAACAGCATCAGCAGTACATTATTGTTTAGGAATTAGGAAATTATATTACCTCCACTGCCAGATGATTTCCCTGGTGTAATAGACACTAGTTGCATTTGGAGATAATTCTCTTCTTTAGGTTAGATCTCCTTTTAGATGCTTTAAAAATAAGCATTGAGGTAGAAATTTCAGGACTGGCCAAAAGACTTTGAGTTGAGTCATGAGGTATTACAGTTCTTGGCTTAGCATTGACCTGATTTTTTTTTTTTTAGATGAGCAAGCAGACCTCGACCACTCATCCTGGTATAAGTACATGTAGTTTACCCCTCAGACAACATGCTGGCTTGAAGGAATAATCCAGTGCCCTTTGCGGTCTCTGTGGACAGAAACATTTGCCTGTGGCAAACTCTGGTTATAATTAAGTTCTCCCATTAAAATAGTATTAAATGAGGCATGTTCCTCACTCATCTTTACCAATCTGTTATAAACAAAATAGCAGAACTATTTTTGGAAAAGATTTTTCACAGTAATTTTGCAAGCATAATAAATGTCATTTCGTGCAATGACAAACTTTGTCCTCTGATTAAGACGTATACTGGTTATGGTTATATTTATATAAAAACAATTTCTAGCTTCAAATTTTTTCCAAGAAAAAGCAAGAGAAACAATAAATATGGTGATAGCTATGATGACTTCACTAAAGGATACTGGAACAAATGGGAACAAGAATTCTCCTTACAGATGAAAAGTTTGATGCAAAACTTTGGAAAGTAATTGTCCTGGGAAGCACCTTAAATTAGAATGCTACTGACAGAACTGACAGGAGTAACCATAAAGGTGAGAGATTAGGTGCCTGAGCTTTGGTGGGTGGGTGGTTGCTTTGTTATACAGGTAGCATAGACTGACCTTGAATTTGTAATCCTCTTGCTTTAGCCTCCTAAGGGCTGAGATTACAGATGTGTGCCACCATGCTAGCAAAATGCCATTCAGGGAAAGAAAGTTACATTTTGTTTTGTTTTACTTTGCTTTGTTTTGCCTTGATTTTGTTTTGTTTTGTTTTGTTTTGTTTCATTTCGTTTCGTTTCAAACAGGGTGTCACTAACTTGCCCAGGGCTGGTCTCAAACTCATGATCCATCGGCTTAGCCTCCCTAAGTGCCAGGATTAGAGATACGTACTACCATTCCCAGCCTGATGGGGGTTTTACAGGTGAAGGACTGCTCAGGTCTTAAATAAAATGATACTGAATTCTTAGGAAGAGGTTGGACATAGTGTCAAATATTCAGCCCTTGAAACACTGTCTCACTGACAAGACTTATGATAAACCAGTTTAGGTAATATTCTTACAGACCCTATAGAATCGCAAATGTTAAAAAGTCAAGCTTCTAAATTAGGTGACTGAGAAAAAAGCTTTATCTCTTACGATATCTTCTGTTGCAAGCTAACAGAAAATTCATTTGTCTGGATTAAGTAGCAGAAAAAAATTGTTATCTCACTTAGCTAGAAAATCCAGGTATAAAGAAGACTTACCTCTTTAGCCTCGGGTTTGTGTATAGCAGGTCACTATAATCAGAAAGCATCACTCTTCTCCATCACTCTTCTCCACCCTTCTGAGGGTCAGCTTCGTCCTAAGCCTGCCTCCCTCAGTCTCACAAGTCGCTAGCAGATCTACCTGCTTCCTCCCTGAAGGTAAAGGGGCAGAGAGAAATTTTCTAGGCACCTCCCACAGAACTTGAGGTGGCTTCGTCTTGCACTGTCACTGGTGTGAGTTCCATGCCTATCCCACAACAAGCCAATATCGTTAGTAACCAAGGCAGAATCTGGTCAAGTATTAAACACTGAATGTAAGATTAAAATTTTTTCTCTTCTAGCAATCTAGTTGCTCCTTGTGCTCTCAGCAGGAGGTGCATAGCAAGAGTTCCTGAACCGACTCTGGAGGAATTAAAGTTCTCTCAACTCTACTCTACTATCCACTGACTTTTTCTTCCTTGCTTTTACTTGCACTAAATTTAGTTTGAGAAAAAGATTTCTTAACTGTGCTATGCTTAAGTGGCTTTGGATAATAGGCTACTTATATAAAAGATCTCTTTTTATACAGTTTAAGGATTTTTCTCTCACTTTTCAACTTCAGGCTAAGCATGACCTTTTAGTAAAGACCTTTACTAAAGCTTGCAAGAAGTCAACATACTCCAATGTTAAGTTTTCCTACCATATGCTATGTAATAATATCTCTGCCTTTGCGGACAAAATATCAGAGCTCTAAACTATAGAAGAACTTTGGTCAGTCAGTTGTTCCACTATTTGAAGTAAGAATATATAATTTTTTAGACTTTAATAGTGAGATGCTATTGCTGCCCACTTGTCTTCATGAGTTTATGTCACTTTTTTAGTGTATTTATTTAAAATGTCCATTAACAGTTGTAAGCACAGAAATAGTTTCTGACCATTTCAAACAAAAAAGAAATGTGTTGTAAAGTTCCGAGAATACATGTAACAACAGGAGGTTGGAGAAGTAAATACTATACTGTAGGAGTCGGCAGGGGCCTCCGAGTGGCTTGGGGGTCCCCATAATGATCTGCTTCTGTAGGTCCTTGCCCTCACTCTGGCCGAGAACAAAGAAGTGGGGCTCTTAGTGAAAAACGGGAGAGTCAAGACTGATGCAGTGCAGAGTGAAAGTTGATTTAAAGTGTAGCAAACCCAAAGAAAGCAGAAGAGCCATCTTAGCAGTTGAATGATGCTGCAGCACAGTGGGCACCCTGCCTGGGACCAGTGAGTGTGAGGTGTACTTTATACTTATAGGGGTACGTAAAATAACTCTGAAAATAACTGTTTCACTGATTGACATGGCATAGGTCAGTCGGGGTGTTAGCCTTTGTTTCTGAGAAGGGTACAAGTTCAGCACACAATAAATATGAGTAGCATTTCCATACAGCATAGCCTAGGGTATGTTTTCTCAATCACATGGTACACAATAAGCATGAGATGATTTTACAATCATCATCCACACATATGTGATAATTTTACAGTGTTGATCATCGGGTTTTGTTCCATGTTTTTCTCTATGTCCCCTTAATTTACTCCTACGTTGCCTGGACAATGATTGCTCTGGCTGATTCTTGCTGGGTAGAGGTGACATGAAGGGCAGGCAATACTGGCCAAGGAAGGAAGCTGCGGTGAAAGGAGGCTGATAGCTGCATAGCAGGTTCTATCTGTAGGATCGCCTGCATCTTGATAGCACTGATGCTGTCTGGTCAGAAGTGTGAAAGTGCAGGCTGTTGGGTTAGCGGTTTGCTATGATCCAGAGGCCATGTCTCTTCTACTTCCCATATTTATCCCTCCTAGGGATCTCAATAGTCCTACAATAGTAGATAAAACTTGATTCTATATTTTTTACAAAGGCCAAATACTACTGTGAATTGAATAAGATATAAGATTTGTTTCTTTCTCAAGGGGAAACAAAGAGGAGAAGGGAGTGTGAGCTCTTTCACCAGGGTTCCTTCTTCCTTTTTTCTCCATTGTCTGAGATATTGTCATCCTCTGCACCAGCATCAGCACTGAATCATTAGCACCACATCCAGGCTTCAGTCTGTTAAAGATGTGGTCTGAAAGTTGTGTACATTGACACTTACAGTTGAGTGGCCAAAATTAGTCACAAGGGAAGTCACAAAAATCTAATGGGCAGCTAAATGCCAAACCAACACTTGTAATGCATGCAGTTTGTGATCATTAACTGTGATATGTCCGTTTAATTTGAGTAGGGACTGCCTAGCAGATTAGGGAAGTTCTGGGTGTGTTTGTGAATGGTTGATATGTAGGCCAGAAAACTGAGAGGAAAAGCTCCACCCCAGACATGGGTGGCACCAACCAATAGGCTTGTCGCTTGGGTGGGATGAAAAGCAAAGAGGGAAGTGCTCCCCTTTCAGAGATCCTCCAGTCTTCCCCAGTGTGTTTGGACATCTGTCTCCTGTTACTCTGGCCTTCCAGAACAGACTCTTCAAAACTTTCCAGTGAAGATTCTTTGGCCTTCCAATGTAGATTTTTCAGCCTTCTGAAACCAATTCACACTAGTAACTCTATAGACAGCTTCCAGGCCTTCAACCTTTAACTGACTGGATCCTCCTAGTCTCTAATTACTAGACAGCCATTTTGGATTTTTCTACCACAGATAGCCTCTGTGACTCTCCACTTCTAATTTTGTAAGCCAACCTAATAAATCCTTTGTATAATTATAAACAAATATATTTTATGTTGATTCTGTTCCTCTGAAAACCCTAACACAAAATCTGTTTCTAAAAACAAAAATGGATATTTGAATATCTGCCAGACATCACCACCATAACCTAGAAAGTTCTGGATGAACAATTAGCAAGAAAAATGCTATCTTTTGAGTATGAATGGTCAACTAGTAGCTTCCCACTCATGCTGCAGATCTCTGTCATTATTATCATAACACAATGTTTCCTAATGCCAGGAATAAATGTCTAGCTACTGTTCTTTCTTTTAATCACTCACTTGAGAGTCAAAGTCCTGAACCACGGGATCTGATTATTCAGTCCTAAGCTGTGTACTCATGCCCTGAAATTCAAGTGGTGAGCTAGAAATCCTGCATTCCACCAAGATTATACCTACCAAGGGATTTCCCAATCATAAGAAGGTAGACTAGATACAGGATAGCCAATTTTTTTAAAAAAATTTACATTCCATATGGAGATATAGTTTCTTTTAAAATTTTTTATGTTGTTAATTTCTTAGGTTCATGGTTCTGGTTGATCATCTGGTGACTACAAAACAAAATGTGATGTTACTCTTATTCTAGTAACAACAGTGAATCCCACCAGCTTTTTAAATGATTCACAGGATTATTTGGGCTGAGTGCTTTATGAATCAAGGAAAGAGTTTAGGTATTCCTAAAACCTCAAGGTTTCACATACAAATGAGGAAAGGGTTTTCTATTTGTTTCTGAAAATATACGATTCTTCTATCTAAATCAGTATAAGAAATTATCATATTCAGAAATGAGCAGAGCTGATGACTGGTAAGTGGCGAAATATTGTAAGGTCTCACAACCTTAGGTGCAGGGACTATTCCTTGAATCAGATGCCAATTCTGCCCTCTTGGAAAGGCTGCCCAAGTCATTACTTTTAGAGTCCTTTTTTTTTTTTTTTTTTTTTTGAACTCTTGAAGGAAGGTCTGCTCCTATATTATCTTCTTTAGGTATATCTGAGGTTGGTGTCAGGCATGGTGGCCCACACCTGTAATCCAAGCACTTGGGAGGTTGAGGTAGGAGAATCACCTCGAGTTCCAGGACATCTTGGGCTACTTAGAGTGACCTTGTCCCAAAAAATGAAAACAATATGAAATATCTGGGGGTTGTATTGGAGATAAACATACTCTTTGGAGACTCAATAATGTTCTGAGCTCATTTCCTATTTATAGGAGGTTAGAAGTTACAGAGGTGTTGTATTTTATTTGTTTATTTACTTATTTATTTTACTATTTCCCAACCTCTTTAGAAACAGCCAATTATATTCTTTTTATCTAATTAAGAATATGCTTCTTGGACTGGGGATGTAGCTTAGTGGCACAGTACTGGCCTGGCAAGTACAAGGCCCTGAGAGAGAGAGAAATTGTCATATTCAATATTTCCATTAACTAGTGTGTCTATCTGAAAAAACATGTCACTTAAATTTTTTGATTAATCAGTATAACATCATCAGTACAGCCAACTAACAATTTCTAGATAGGAAACAGAGTTAATAAAAGACACAAAACTTTCTAAAAAGGAAAATCTTGTCCTAGATCTTGTTTACCACCAGGATTTCTGGAGGAAGGAAACATTGTCATTTTGTGTAAAACATCTCCATTGTGCAGAACTATCCCACACTTCATGTGAGATTTAATATTGCAGGCCTCTGGGCTGTACATGTGAGTAGTACCTCACTGTAATACCCATTATAGTAATACCCAATACTATATAGTAATACTATATAGTAATACCCATTACTATATAGTAATACCCATTACTATATATACTCACAATAACAAAGTTTATCACGTATTTTCAAATGTTCCCTAAAAATAAAACCATCATTAGTTCCCAATAAATGATTTGCAATCTAGCTGGGAGACAAAGATGCAGCAGATGATCTGATCTGACAATTAGAAACAGTCTGACAGTTAGCATAGGCTAGGAAATGATTCACAGAAGCACCCAGCACAGTGATTTTGGTATAGAATAAATATGAAATGAATGGATAAATGCATAAATGAATGAAGATGTAGAAAGATCTTCTACAATGATCATACACAGAATCCTGATGGAACATTTGGAGAAAACTAAACAGTATGGTCAGAGCGGAAGCTGTATTACCTAGAGTTCTTTAGAAGAACACAATCAATAGAAAATAGATAAACAATTATGCAAGGAGCTTTACAGGGTCAGAGTCTGGAGAATCTACAGTAGCCATCTGTGTGCTGGAGAACTAGAGACTGCAGTAGCTGCTCAGCCCAAGAAGGTGGAAGCCACAGAACAAGCGGGACCAAGGATGCAGCTCCAGGCCACGGTAAAGGCCTGAAAGCTCAGTGTATAGTTCCAGTGTGAGTTTGTGCTAGATGGCTGGAGAAACTGAAGACCAATGTCCAAAGCAAATGGTTTCCCCCTTTCCCTTCTTATTCCATCCAGGTTACAAGCCTATAGGTTGGTGTCACCCATATCTGGGTGGAGCCTTCCCTCAATTTTCTGTCCTACACATCAATCATCCACAAACACACCCAAAACTGTACTCTACTAATCTGCTAGACATTTCTTCATCCATTCAAACTG